ACTTAGAAATTCAATTTGCATTAACTAGTCATCCAGTCTGCCACAGGGGGAAAAAGTATTAAAAGTGTTTCATTAGAAACAAAGATTTGAAGGAAAAAAAAAAAAAAAAAAAAAAAAGAAACAAAGATTTGAATTACAGGCAAAATAAAACCATTTTCCAACTGTTTTGAGAAACAACTCATGCATTCCCCAGCAATGAAGTATCTGAAAATAGGCACCAACTTCCTATTTAGATAATTACTTAAGGGGGCGCCTGGGTGGCTCAGTGGGTTAAAGCCTCTGCCTTCGGCTCCGGTCATGATCTCAGGGTCCTGGGATGGAGCCCCGCATCGAGCCCCGCATCGCATTGGGCTCCCTGCTCAGCAGGGAGCCTGCTTCCCCCTCTCTCTCTGCCTGCCTCTCTGCCTACTTGTGATCTCTGTCTGTCAAATAAATAAAATCTTAAAAAAAAAAAAAAAGATGAAATTCCACTATCTCCAGGTGGAACACGCTTTCTCTGACCATTTGTTTATATATGCCAATCACTCACCACCAAGCCCACAAATTTTCAGCACGTCCTGCTCAGTTTCACTTTACCTACAGTCTAAGATGGCCACGCTGAAGTAAGACAGCATGTTATAAAGGGATGTGGCATCAAGAGGCCTCAAAAACAAGGACTTAAATAAAAGGCATCATACCATTTTTCTCACCTGGCAATTCTATTTAACCTTTAGGGAAAGATGAATAAGGAAAGCACCACACCACAAAGCTTATTCCAACACAAGAAGAAATGCAAAGACAAAAAAATAACCTAGAATTTCTTCCTTTCATCTTAAGGACTGCCCATAGCCAGAAACACCTGGAAAACAGAATTATAATAACATGCCAGAACCAGAACTCAAACTGTAGCAGTAGATGCCCTTCTAACAATGCTGGGCTTCTTCAAGCACTGCTAGAGCACAGATGTTCCCTGGGCACATGCTGGTCAGAGAGAGAACCAGCAACATCTTTCGCACACACAATATCAACAGATACTGTTGTGTATCTGTGTGTTGATACTGTGTGTGTATCTCTCTCTCTCTCTCTGCCTCTCTCTCCCTGCCTCTCTGCCTACTTGTGATCTCTTGTCAAATGAATAAATAAAATCTTTAAAAAAAAAAAAAAAAAAAAAGCTCTCAACATATATCATAGTACTGCTCAACATGCAATGAAGGTCTCAAATGCAGTTATTAAAAGTGGAGACAAGGGCACCTGGCTGGTTCAGTCGGTAAAGCATGTGACTCTCGATCTCAGGGTTGTGAGTTCAAGCCCCACGATGGATGTAGAGCTTATTTAAAAAAAAAAAAAAATTAAATTAAAAATATTTTTTAGTTTAAGTAGTTAATTAAAAGTGGAGGCAAAGAAATGGAGCTAACCATAAAACAAAAGTCAAAGAAGAAAAAAAACATCAAAAACCTGAGAGAACAGGGGCACCTGGGTGGCTCAGTCCGTTGATCGTCTGCCTTGGGCTCAGGTCATGATCCTGGGGTCCTGGGATCAAGTCCGACATCAGACTCCCTGCCCAGCAGGGAGTCTGCTTCTCCCTCTCCTTTTGCCCCTTTCCCTGCTCCTTCTCTCTCTCAAATAAATAAATAAAATCTTAAAAACAACAACAAAAAAGAAACCCTGAGAGAACAAACCATTAGGGATGTGCTGAGAAGTGGCCTTGGGGGATGTGATCAAACACTGGGTCAAGGACGCTGGTAAAAAGGTAAGGCACCAGCACCCACCTCAGGCAGACCACTGGGGCTCCCAAGATAGCCTTGTCCCAGAGGACAACCACCAGTCCAACCTCTCTTCTGAGCAAGGAACCCCAAAGAGAAGGAAGTTAGCATTAAACAAGGAGAACAATTTCCTAATGAGGAGTCTGGAGACAGAGATTCCAAGTGGTGCCCAGGAAAATGCAAGGAGGGGGCTTTAAAAGGCAAACCAGTAGGTGTGGTCAAGTATTTCCCAGGTAAGCATGAATCTCGGCTAAATTAAAACCAACTCAGTAACTTTTCACTCCCCTCTTCTGTTGCAGTTATCAAAAAATGTACTAGGCCAGGAACACAACATAACTGAAAACTAAACAAACATCACCCTTTTTAGATCTACCAAATCAAGGCAGAAACAAGAACCAGCAGCAAGACTTTTTCCTCCCCTTTCCAAGAGAGGATACCAAAGTCTTGCCCTCCAACACGAGTAGCAAGAACCACACACTCTGTATTTTGCTGAATTCTGTCCACACTGAGAGACAACTCACTCTCCTCCACATCCTCCCAGCCAAACCAAAACGACTGAGCCTTAGACTTTTCAAAAGCACAAGAGCAATCAAAAGGGGCCCTCAGCGAGGCTTTTACCTCCAATCTGAACTTCCTGTGTGTTCCCTTTAGCAGCTATCAAAACCCTGGTAGAAGTGCCAACCTCTCCCCAGTCTGCAACACAAGCCATTTTCAGCTTGCCAGTTAAGTGTATAATCAGACAAAAACACAGAAGCACTGCCCTTTAAAGAGATCCCATCCCCTCCAAATCTCCCCCCTTGTAAATTGTATCTCAATATTCAATCGGAGCTATGAACAATTAGATTTACCACTACACTTAATGCTGCATGCACTGGTGACACTACCTTGCTAACTATACTGGTTCTATTTAAGGTATCTAATTAATCCTACAGCTGCAGTCCTGTTCTCCAAAGACTTCACTCTGAAAAAGAGGAAGGTGAGTATCTCTGCAGAACACTACCTCTTTTCTTTCAATCAGGTAAGAGTATGTTGCTACACTACCAAATTCCACAAACCACAACTCACCTTTCCTACAAGGTAAAAAAGGATGCATTTACTTTTAACAAAAACAGGACACAAAATAAAACCAGTTCTAACAATCTAACACATTTGCAGTAACAAGAACATTTATTTCCATTTTTTAAAAAATGAATGTCTCAGGGTGCCTGGGTGGCTCAGTTGTTGGGCGTCTGCCTGAGGCTCTGGTCATGACCCCCCAGGGTCCTGGGTTAGAGCCCAAGATCATCCTGCTCAGCGGGAGGCCTGCTTCTCCCTCTCCCACTTCCCCTGCTTGTGTTCCCTCTCTTGCTGTGTCTCCCTCTGTCAAATGAATGGATAGAATCTTTAAATTAAAAAAAAATTGAATGTCTCGCTCATTAAATCTTCTGAACAAAAGAAAACTAATAAATTATAAAAAACAATTTCAAATCAAGCAATCCATTTTGGGGATTATTTCAGAGTTCATTTTCTAAACCCATCTTCTATTTTGAAGCACTGTCAGCTTTAGTCCTAAAAAGAGAACATAAAACAGCACACAACAGCACCAAAAATTAAACAGAAAATCTAAAGGATGTTCATGTTTTTGTATGGCCTAGGCAAAGAGAGGCATACAAAAGCCACCAAAAATGGTGCCATCCCCACCTTCAAGAAAAATCAATTGCAACAAACAAATGGATAAACTGTAGCACCACACACAGGATAGAATGCTACTCAGAGCAAACAAACAAACAACGCTGGGATAGGGGAGAGGACCAAAATGGACACTGAGCTACTTATTAACACCTGCAGCATGAACTCCATGGATCAATCTCAGAAACTCGGGAAGTTCATGAAGCCAGGCACAAAAGACTGTGCCATAAGGATCTATTCATGACTTGATGGAAACAGGAAACCATACATTCAACAGTCACATCAGTGGTGCCAGGGGCTTGGGTTGGAGATGGATGCTCTATGCCGTCACAGTATATGTTGTCTGTCAAATTCAAGCTATGATTCTTAAAAGGGTGATCATACGGTATCCAAATTATACTCCAAGAAATGAGTCTCTAAAACAAATTTTAAGTATTACTCCAAATTCTCTGGATGAAACCAAGAGACAATCCAGAAATGCTGAAGACCCTCTAGAACTGATGGATGTTAATTTACTCAAGAGTCAAAATTTAAGGAACTCAGCTACATAAAATCAAAGTTGACCACCGGGGCACCATCTGTGTTTCCCGTTTCTCACAGGCCTAGACTATGAGTTCCTCCTTCCCTAAAATCAACATTCTATTCACTAGTTTCACTTTATGTTTTCAAATTACTAACCCAAAAAACTGCAAATTCCACCCACGATGTCTCACAATAATGTATTTTTCCTATAGAATGCCGCCATTATTTGCACATTCTTGGGCAAAAATAAGAATATGAGAAGGTGCTCCACAACTTGTTTTAACCTGTTTTGATCATTTTGAAATGCATTAAGTCCATTACTGTTATATGCAGCTTCTCCCAAGTTTGAAAGCATTTGATTTAATTACATTTTTACTAAGATTAACAGTCAAATTCAAATCCTTTCTCCACAGACACCCTGTCCCGGAGAAGCATCAAATCCAAATTCCCAAATCTTCAAAATCATTTGAGACACAAAATCTAAAGCCATGGTTACCGAGAGCACAATAAACAAGAACACTTACTTACATATCTTCACGTCATGGGGAGGGGTGAGGATTAGCTCAGAAAAAACACTACCATAAAACAAATCTATCAACGCAAACTCTGATCACGCATTTCCTGCCGACAATATACAATCAGATATGCGGTAGTTTTGAAAGCGAACACTTGACGTTGCTAGGAAGAGCAGTATGTTAATATGCACAGATTATTCCAATCAGCTCGTTTTCAGCGCACTTAAATGCTGCGAAAATACCTCGGTCTAAGCTGCCTAACTCAAGACTCTTTTCCGGGAAGTGCTCACCTCCCGTGGCACACCATAAACTCCCTTCTTCCCTGGGTGCCCTCGCCAGTGACAAGCAGCAGGCCTCGCTGGTCTCCCAGCTCAGGGCTTCTCCACCCCGCACGACCGACACTTGGGGCGGGGGAGCCTGCCCTGGGCCACGCAGGATATTCCGCAGCCCCCTCTTAGGGATGACATTCAAAACTGCCCCCAGTGTCAAACACGCCCGGAGGGAGGACCGGAGGGGGTCAAACGCCCCGGCTGAGATGCAGGCGTATAGACCATCCCGGGAGTTCTCAACCTACAAAGTACTCGGGGCACTTGGTGGCTGGACTCCGCAGCAGCAAAGACTCCGGCAGTCTGGATCCGGGGAAGGGTGTCCAATACCCTCGCAACGCCGGGCTCAAACCCTGACGCAGGCTGCCCTTCCCCTTAGCCAGCAATGCAGCAAGGTTATCTTTACCTTTATAGAGGTTGGTGACGGCGGTGGCTGCGTTTTGGAAGGGGACCCAGAGAGAAAGTCCTGGCTGCTGACACACTCGGTCTGAAAAAGCGGAGGGAAGAGAAAAAAAAAAAAAACCACAAAAGACACAGAAAGAGACAGAGAGAGACACAGAGAGAGATGATGTTATTTGGGCGTCAGTCACTCCGGAACGGCCATATTAGGTTTCGCCATTTTGTTCCAGGGCTTCAGGATCCCACACTCAACTGCGAGGACGGCAGGAAAGGGGTCGCGGCGGGAGCAAGGGCGAGCCGCGGGGCCCAGAGGCGCAACCCCGGGACCGACCGCGGCCGAGGGAGGCGCCCCCTCCCAGTCCCCGCCCCGAGGCCGGCTTCGGGCACAATGGGCCGGCCCCGCCGCCTCCCTTCGCCATTTTGTGACCCCGGGCCCCTCCCCTCCCCTCCCTGCCGGGGGGCGCCAGCAGCCGGGCCTCAGCCGCAGGAGAGCCCCCGAGAGCGGCCCCAAACGGGAGCGCCCCCCGCGCCGGCCCCCCGCTCGGCCGCGGCCGCCCGCCGGGCCCGCCCCCCGCGCCGCCATCTTGTGGGGAGGGGGCGACCGGGCGGCGGGGGCGCGGAGGCCCGGCCCGGCCCGGCCGGCGGGTGGGCGGCCGCCCTCGGGGTTCTCCACCGACCCGCGGACCCCGAGGCGCGTCGGCGGCAGCGGTGGCGGCGGCGGGGCGGCGGCAGCGGCAAGATGGCGGCGGCGGGCCTCACCTTTGTAGAGCTGGGCCACGGCGGTGGCCGAGTTCTGGAAGAGGTGCCACAGCTTCTGCTGCTTGTGCTCGGGCTGCGCGGCGGCCGCCGCCTCCTCTTGCAGCTCGGGGGACAGCTGCTCGTCCTGCTCGGCCTCAGCCAGGCACTGCCGCTCCCACTTAGAGAACCAGTGCTCCGGCCCGTGCTCCTGGATCTCGGCCTCGCCCTCCTCCTTCCGCTCCTCCATCCTCCGCGGCCTCCCGCGGCCTCGCCGCCGCCGCCGCCGCGTCCTCCTCAGGCGGGGCCCCCGCGGGAGCGTCGTCGTCGAGCGGCCCGGCGGCGGGGCCCAGCGGCCGGCGGCGGCTCCTCGAGGCGGCCCAGGCCTCCTGCACCCCGACGGCTTGCGAGACCCGCCCCGCGGCCCCGCGCTGTCCGGGACGACCCCCGCCCCGGGCCTCCCCACCCCCGGGTCCCGCCGAAGGTCGCCGCGGTCTGGACGACCGCCGCCGCCCCTCGCCTTGCCGGCCTGAACCTGTCTACCGCCCACCCATGGCGCCGCGGCCCCCCTAGGGCCGCCGCCGCTGACCGCCGAGCCCTCCGCAAAGCCCGGCCTGCGCCGCCGAGCCAACCCCGAAGACTGAGGAACGTCGTCGTCGCCGCCGCCGTCGACGCCTCTGCGGCTGCTGGTCCCCGCCCTCCCCCGCCCACATGCTGACTGGGGAAGCACCGCCCACTCGGCCTCGGCTCCCCTGCCCGGTTGGGGCGCGCCCGCTCCGAGCGCCCTCATTGGTCGGATCCGACCGGTTCCGCGCGTCGGCCTCTGAACACAGCACCGTGATTGGCTTACCGTCCTGTCTGCCTGACGTAACCAATGGGCGGGGGGAAGGGAGCGTGTGTCAGGAAGGATGGAAAAGGAGGGGGTGGAGCTGACAGTGGTTGCGTCCAAGCCAACCAAAGGAAAAAAAAAAAAAAAGATAAAGATAAAAGGTACGCATGCGCCGTGGTTGCTTCCCCCCCACCCGCGGGCGTCGAGGGACAGTCACGTGACCCGGCCCAGCGACCGCGCCCCGCGGGGTCTTTTCAGGCGCTTTCCGGTAACAGGGGCCCCAGAATTAAGTCGGGCCACGGCGCCCTGGTGTCTGGGGTGGCAGTCCGCTTGCCCCAGCTCCTTGGGCTCCAAAACGGCTAGGGGCGTAGAGAAAGGATAAAACGTCCAAGTTGGCAGAGTGCGTCCTCCATCTGTTTATCTTAGAGTCCCATTTCTCGGATGGGCAAGTTGGGCTTCCGAGCCCCAAGAAAAACTTTCAAGTGGCGAGTCTAGCGGCCCTTCCTGCGGCCCGCTGCCCTTCGGGGAGTGCGTCCCGTGACGCGGCCATCCGCCCGATCCGGAGGCCGCCAGCCAAGCGGAGCGCAGGACGGGACGCCCCGGCTTAGGGTGGCGACCCCCAAGCTGTCCGGAGGAGCACACTCCGGGGCCACGTGTGCCCGTCTGCATCACGCGCCAGCCCCCGCCTCCCCCAGCCGGAACCCGCGTGGCCATGTGGGGTGGACTGCTCGGCCTCCCGTTAACCCGTGCCGCGCGGTGGCCCCGTCACCCCTGCGGCTCTGGGGCTCCCGGAAGGAGCCGCCACGCAAACGAGTGATGACCGCACAGAGGCAAAACCGGCCCTCCAGCTGCTGGCGGCGAGAGCAGGAGCCACCCAGGGCCTGCAGAAGCTGGCCGGGGTACCACCTCCCAGGAGCTACCACAGCGAGCTCCTGCAAAGTAAGGTGGCTTTAAAGCTGTCACTTCTGGACTCAAATGTGACCTCCTCGTTAAGGCCTACGAGTCCCTGTGGGACCTGAGCCCGCCTCCTCCGTGTTCATCTCACCCCATCCTCTGCTTGGCTCGTGCTGCCCAGTCACACTGGCCTTCTTTCTGTTTCCCCAGGACACCAAGCTCTTCTCTGCCTCAAGGCCTTTGCTCTCAGGGTACACACTCTCCCTCTAGAATCTTCCCCCTCAATTCTCAAGGCTCTGTTCAAATGGCCTATAAGCCCTTGTCATACCAGCCTTATTAAAGTAGAGCGTTCTACACTCCTGTTGCCTGGTTTTATTTTTTCATACCCTGAATCACTACCTGAAATGACCCTACTATTGATGTGTTTATTTATAACTCTCTTGTCACTAAAAAGTAACTTATCCTACGGCAGAACCTTGGCAGTCTTGTTCCTGGCTAAATCTTAAAAAGATTGGTAAAGGGGCGCCTGAGTGGCTCAGTGAGTTAAAGCCTCTGCCTTCGGCTCAGGTCGTGATCCTGGGGTCCTGGGGTCCTGGGGTCCTGGGATCGAGCCCCGCATCGGGCTCTCTGCTCAGCAGGGAGCCTGCTTCCACCTCTCTCTCTGCCTGCCAAATAAATAAATAAAATCTTAAAAAAATAGATTGGTAAATAGGATGTAGGAAGAAATGGGGTTAGAGGCCACCCCAGAAAGGACATGCCAGGCAATAGTAGGAGTTATGGGGGAACCCCCAGTTCTTCAGACAACCAGAGTGGGAGCTGCGGGCTGTGCACTTTGTCCATCCAGTATCAGAGGCACACAGCCTAGGCTTTACCAATTTTGTAAAGCACTACAAAAACACAATCTGTTGACTCTATAATATGAAAAGAAATATTTTTTTCAGGAGTGTGTGGATGGCTTAGTCCATTAAGTGTCTGCACGTTGCTCAGCCCGTGATCTCCAGGGCCTGGGATCAGCCCTGCATTGGGCTCCCTGATCAGCGGGGAACCTGCTTCTCTCTCTCTCTCTCTCTCTCTCTCTCCCCCTGCTCCTCTGCCCTTGTGCGCTCTCTCTCAAATAAATAAATCTGTAAAATCTAAAAATCTTTTTCAAAAAAAAGTTTTTTCACTAATGATTACAATAGAAAAACATCTGAAAATCTGTCACTTTTATGGAAAAAAAAGTTTAATCTGAGTGCATTTTCACAGCGATTTTTCTGAGAACTGCCATGGTCTTAAATGAGTCTCTCTCCTTCCTCCCTCTCGCTTTCTCTCCCTGTCTCCCCTACCCCGAGAAATGCACATACACACAGAGATGACTCTGGACACCAGTCTACAGGTCAGTTTCATTCTAAACTGCCCTTTATAAAACCTAAACAACACTATTAGACATCAATACCTGGTGGGTGCTCATGGTCAGGCTGTAACAGCTGAAGGATGAGGCTTATCAGTGGCCAATGTGAAAAGCAGCCTGTGCCTGAATACCATGAGGACAGAAAGTAAGATGTGTAAGGGGTATAAAATGGTACTTCCCATTGGTGGGAATCACAGAGGACCTCCTGGGGTAGGAAGGATTTTTGCTAGGCCATGAAGCATAGACAAGTTTCCTGAAAGGGAGAGGCCCCTCAGAGCAGAGGGGCGCATGGATTCAAAGGCACAGAGGTGGAAAAGGCTTAAAGAACCAGGAATAGAGGGGTGCCTGGGTAGCTCAGTGGGTTAAAGGCTCTGCCTTTGGCTCGTGTCATGATCCCAGGCTGCTGGGATCGAGCCCCACATCAGGCTCTCTGCTTGGCGGGGAGCCTGCTTCCCCTCTCTCTCTGCCTGCCTCTCTGCCTACTTGTGATTTCTGTCTGTCAAATAAATAAATAAAATCTTAAAAAAAAAAAAAGAAAAAACAGGAATAGGGAGTGCCTGGATGGCTCAGTGGGTTAAGCCTCTGCCTTCGGCTCAGGTCATGATCTCAGGATCCTGGGATTGAGCCCCGCATCAGGCTCTCTGCTCAGCGGGGAGCCTGCTTCCCCCTCTCTCTCTGCCTGCTTGTGATTTCTCTGTCAAATAAATAAATACAATCTTTAAAAAAAAAGAAAAAAAGAACCAGGAATAGGCTGCTCTTTCTGCTCATGGGTCCTGTCCCCGTGCTATAATAAAACCAACATTTTTGCATCCAAAAAAAAAAAAAAAAAAAAAAGAACCAGGAATAATCTGATTTGCATTTTCTTTCTTTCTCTCGGTGAGATAGTACTGCTTTGTTTGGCTTTCTAAATTTAATAAGTACTTCCTATCTGAGTGACCTTGGGCAAATTACTAAGACTCTGAGCATCATAAATGGAGTTGGTAATAGAAACTCCTCAGGTTTGCTTTCAGGATTAAATGTGAATAAATGAGAAAAGGACTGAGTGCCATACCAGTCCACAAAATTATTCAATAAAAACTAGCACTCTAGGGGCCTGAGAAAGTGCTCCTACATTAGCCTCCAACCTTGGAATTGGGAGGTCTGGACGAGCCACAATGCATATGACATCTCTCAGCTAAACTCTGGAAACTTCACATCAATTTGAAGTAATTAGCTTTTGATGACTTGAGAAAATGTGGATTGGTGTATACTTTCTTTTTTCTTTTTTTTTTTTTAAATAGGCTCCACACCCACCGTGGGTCTGGAACTCACAACCCCAAGATCGAGAGGCGCATGCTCCACTGCCTGAGGCAGGCCAGGCACCCCTGTACTTTCATTTTTAATATCTTTCCAGATGTTTAAGTATGTATATGTAAATACTTTTTTGCTGTTGTTAAAGATTTGAGAGAGAGAGAGAGAGACAGTGTACGCCTGCACGGGGAGGAGCAGAGGGAGAGAGAGAATCCTCAAGCACGCTCTCCACTGAAAGCAGAGCCCAATGCAGGCGAATCCCAGAACCCCGAGATCATAACCCCAGCTGAAATCAACAGCTGGACGCCCAACCAACAGAGCCACCCAGGCGCCCCACATAAACACTTTTAAACATAAAAGATGTATTACAGAGCGTGTTAGGAAACTGAGCTTTTATTTTCAATTTTATAATAGATCTTGGACATCTTTTCTAATTTCAACAAGACACAGGTGACCCTTGAATGATGCAGGGATTAAGCGTATGACCCTATGCACAGTAGAAAATTCATAGATGACTTTTTTTTTTAAAGATTTTTATTTATTTATTTGACAGAGATGGAAAGAGGGAACACAAGCAGGGGGAGTGGTAGAGGGAGAAGCAGGCTTCCTGCTAAGCAGGGAGCCCCATGTGGGGCTCAATCCCAGGGCCCTAGGATCATGACCTGAGCCAAAGGCAGACGTTTAATGACTGAGCCACCCAGGCACCCCCCATGTATGACTTTTGACACCCCTAAAACTTACTGCTAATAGTCTCCTGATGACTGGAAGCCTTATCTATAATATACAGTTGATTAACACAGATCATGTATGTTGTATGTACTATCTATCTACTATACTCTTACAATAAAGTAAGCTAGAGGAAAGAAAATGTGATTAAGAAAATCATAACGAAGAATAAATACTTTTATAGTACTGTAGCTATTGAAAAAATCCACATATAAGTGGACCCACACAGTTCAAACCCATGTTGCTCAAAGGTCAAGTATAGTTGGCTCTTTCCTCATTAGCAGTCACATTGTACCCCATGGTGTAGGCCCATGATAATGTATTTATCAGTTCACCACGAAAGAGCATTTGGCAGTGTTCAGGAACTTAGGACTACAGCAGTACTTAGGACGTACTCAGCGTTCCCATACATTCATCTTTGCCTTCCTTCAGTAACTTCTTTCGTATGCATTCCATGACGTAGAATCTTTCTGCTCTTGGTAAAGGCACTGTATTCTGTAGTCACTGGTCCTGTTATTATTAGTACCACAGGAGTACTCCATGTTTCAATTGAACAATTCCAATTACACAGAACAGAAAGTAAAAACGGGAAGTCATGCCACCTCCTCAATTCCAAACTCCAGAAGTAACCTATAACCTTTGGAAATGATGTCCACATTTATGTGTAACTATATAC